GCCTGTGGTCCCAGCTACTCGGGGTTAAGATAGAAGAATCATCATTTGGGCCCAGGAGGTCAAGGTAGTGGTGAGCCATGATCACACCACTGCACTCCAGCCTGGGCAGAAGAGCAAGACCCTGCAAAGTTTATAGTCTTATAGAATTAAGTAATTCAGAGCAAGGCGGCCCAGTTGGTTGGTGGCGGTGGTCCTGTGGCAGACACAGAGATGCAGATCTTTGTGAAGATTGTCACGGGCAAGACCATCACCCTTGAGGTCGAGCCCAGTGACACCATTAAGAATGTCAAAGCCAAAATTCAATACAAGGAAGGTATCCCACCTGACCAGCAGCGTCTGATATTTGCTGGTAAACAGCTGGAGGATGGCCACACTCTCAGACTACAACATCCAGAAAGAGTCCACCCTGCACCTAGTGCCGCGCCTGTGAGATGGCATTATTGAGCCTTCTCTCTGCCAGCTCGTCCAGAAATACAACTGGGACAAGATGAGCTGCTGCAAGTGCTATGCTCGCCTGCACCCCTGTGCTGTCAACTGCCGCAAGAAGAAGTGTGGCCACACCAATAACCTGCGCCCAAGAAGAAGGTCAAATGAGGCCCTTCCTTCCTTGAAGGGCAGCCTCCTGCCCAGGCCCCTGGAGCCTCAATAAAGTGTCCCTTTTGTTGACTGGAGCAGCAAAAAAAAAAAAAGTAATTCAGGGCCCGGTGTGGTGGTTCCCGCCTGTAATCCCAGCACTTTGGGAGGCCAAGGCGGGTAGACCATGAGGTTGGGAGTTTGAGACTAGCCTGGCCAGCATAGTGAAACTCCGTCTCTACTAAAAATACAAAAATTTGCCAGACATTGTGGCAGGTGCCTGTAATCCCAGCTGCTTGGGAAGCTGAGGCAGGAGAATTGCTTGAACCCAGGAGGCGGAGGTTGCAGTGAGCCAGTATTGCACCATTGCACTCCAGCTTTGACAACACAGCGAGATGCTGTCTCAAAAATAATAATAATAATAGTAATAATAATTCAGCATGCTGCTTAATACTAGATCAATATGTGAAATAAATTATAGTTCTTTATCTCAGTAAAAGATAAGAATGTAAAACTAGCCTTTACAACACCAACAGAAAATATGAAATGCTAGGGAGTAATTCTAATAAAAAAAGAGGAGACTAACCAATGTGGAAAATATAGAAAGCTTTATTGAAATACACTTAAAGACATAAGTAAATGGAGACATACTGTTTTTATGAATAGGAAGACTCATAAAAATATCTGTTCTTTCAAATTCTATAAATTCTATATAAGTCCAATAAAAATACTAACAGGCTTTTTCCTGGAAACTGATGGTTGAATAAACAATTTATATCCCTGGCGAGGTGGCTTACACCTGTAATCCTAGCATGTTGGGAGGCTGAAGCGGGTGGATCACCTGAGGCTGGGAGTTCGAGACCAGCCTGACCAACATAGTAAAACCCGGTCTCTACTAAAAATACAAAAAATTAGCCGGGCGTGGTGGCAGGTGCCTGTATTCCCAGCTACTTGGGAGACTGAGGCAGGAGAATCGCTTGAACTCAGGAGGCAGAGGTTGCAGTGAGCTGAGATGGCGCCATTGCACTCCAGCCTGGGCAACAAGAGCAAAACTACATCCAAAAAAAAAAAAAAAAAAAATTATATGGAAGAGTAAAAGAAGAAAAGTCAAAATGATTTTCATGGATAAGAGAGCAGGAAGAATTGCGCTACAAATGGTCAAGGCTTGTTAGAAATGTCAGTAAGCAGCCGGGCGCGGTGGCTCAAGCCTGTAATCCCAGCACTTTGGGAGGCCGAGGCGGGTGGATCACGAGGTCAAGAGATCGAGACCATCCTGGTCAACATGGTGAAACCCCGTCTCTACCAAAAATACAAAAAAAAAAAAAATTAGCTGGGCATGGTGGCGCGTGCCTGTAGTCCCAGCTACTCAGGAGGCTGAGGCAGGAGAATTGCCTGAACCCAGGAGGCGGAGGTTGTGGTGAGCCGAGATCGCGCCATTGCACTCCAGCCTGGGTAACATGAGTGAAACTCCGTCTCAAAAAAAAAAAAAAAAAAAAAAAAAAAAAAAAAAAGAAATGTCAGTAAGCAAGCCAGTGTGGCACCAGCACAGGAATATACAAACAGATAAGGATAGGAGACTGGAGAACCCAGTAACAGCCCCCCACATATGACAATATGTGACAGCGGTGACATCATAATCGGTGGGGTAAGGATGGACTTGTAAATGATGGTTATTCTCAAACAAGAAATCTAAGTGGATTAAAGACCTAAATATGAAAAGAAATATAGAAGAAAATACAGATGTAGGGGAGGAATTCCTGAATAAAACACGAAAAACACAGACTACAAAGTAACAGGTAAAATACTATTTTAGGCCGAGGATGGTTGTTCATACCTGTAATTCCAGCACTTTGGGAGGCTGTGGCAGGTGGATCACCTGAGTTCAAGAGTTCAAGGCCAGCCTGGCCAGCATGGTAAAACCCCATCTCTACTAAAAATGCAAAAATTAGCTGGGTGTGGTGGCACACGGCTGTAATCCCAGCTACTTGGGAGGCTTAGGCAGGAGAATCGCTTGAACCTGGGAGGCAGAGGTTGCAGTGAGCTAAGATCCTGCCACTGCACTCCTGCCTGGACAACAAACAGAGCAAGATTGTGTCTCAAAAAAAAAAAAACTAAGTGAAAAAAAACACAACTTCTTCAATAGATACAATTGTCATTTTTTTTTTTTTTTTTTTTTTTTGAGACAGAGTCTTGCTCTGTCACCAGGCGCCAGGCTGGAGTGCAGTAGTGCAATCTCAGCTCACTGCAATCTCTGCCTCCTGGGCTCAAGCAATTCTCCTGCCTCAGCCTCCTGTGTCATACTTTTTTTCTTTTCCCCAAGACAGTCTTGCTGTGTCGTCCAGGGTGGAGAGTGCAGTGGTGCAATCACAACACTCACTGCAGCCTTGACCTTCGGGGCCCAAGCAGGATTCCTACCTCAGCCTTCCAAGTAGCCTGGATTACAGGCACATGCCATGACACCTGGCTTCTTTTTTAAAAAATTTTTTGGGCTGGGTGTGGTGGCTCATTCCTGTAATCCCAGCACTTTGGGAGGCCAAAGCGATGGATCACTTGAGGTCAAGAGTTCAAGACCAGGCTAGCCAACATGGCAAAACCCCATCTCTACTAAAAATACAAAAAAAAAAAAAAAAAAAACTAGTTGGGCATGGTGGCAGGCACCTGTAATCCCAGCTACTTAGGAGGCTGAGGCAGGAGAATTGCTGGAACCCAGCAGGTGGAGGTTGCATTGAGCCAAGATGGCACCACTGCACTCCAGCCTGGGCGACAGAGCGAGACTCCACCTCAAAAAAAAAAAAAAAATCATAAAAATAAATAATTTTGTAGAGATGGAGTTTTACTGCATTGGTCTTGAACTCCTGGTCTCAAGTGTTCCTCCTATCTTGGCCTCCCCAAGTGCTGGGATTTCAGGTGTGAACCACCATGCCTGGCCTATTGTCATACTTTTTAAAAACTTAATAATTGGCCAGGCAAGGTGGTTTACGTCTGTAATCCCAGCACTTTGGGAGGCCGAGGCAGGTGGATCAGCCAAGGTCACGAGTTCAAGGCCAGCCTGACCAACATGGTGAAACCACGTCTCTACTAAAAATACAAAAAATTAGCCAAGCATGGTGGTGGGTGCCTATAATCCCAGCTACTTGGGAGGCTGAGGTAGGAGAATCACTTGAACCTGCGAGGCAGAGGTTGCAGTGAGCCAAGATCGCATCCTTGTACTCCAGCCGGGGCAACGAGGGCAAAAATTCGTCTCAAAAAACCAAGGAAGTCCAGGCGTGGTGGCTCACGCCTGTAATCCCAGAACTTTGGGAGGCCAAGGTGGGCGGATCATGAGGTCAGGAGTTTGAGACCAGCCTGGACAACATGATAAAACCCTGTCTCTACTAAAATACAAAAAAAACAATGAAACAGCAACAACAAAAACTACAATTTGGAGATGCGTACTTAAATATTTAGGAATAAAATAAATTCTGAGATTTGCTTCAAATGATCTGGGGGAATGAGGGATATGGGTAGAGTATTGTTGATAAAATATTAGCTGAGAGTTGGTCATTGCTGAAGCTACCTGACGGGCACATAGGGATTCATCAAACTTTCAGTATATGCTTGATATATATGTTTTTTGGGGTTTTTTTGGTTTTTTCTTTTTTTTTTTTTTTTCATAAAAATGATGTAAAGGAAAAAAAATGACAATAGGCTACCAGTTTTCACCCACCAGATTAGCATACATTTAAAAATCTGATAATTCTAAGTGTTAGCAAGAACATGAAAAGTGGGAACACTCTTAAACACAAATGGTAGGAACATAAATTGGTACAGCCAATTTGGAAGAAACTTTGGCATCTTCTGGAAAAACAGTATGTATATTCTTTACTACCCAAAAGTATATTTATTACACAGCAGGATTTTTTTTTTTTTTTTTTTTTTTTAGTTGGAGTCTTGCTCTCTCACCCAGGCTGGAGTGTAGAGGTTCGATATTTCAGCTCACTGCAACCTCTGCCCCCCAGGTTCAAGTAATTCTCCTGCCTCAGCCTCCCAAGTAGCTGGGATTACAGTCATGCACCACCAGGCCTGGCTAATTTTTATATTTTTAGTAGAGGGTTTCACCATGTTGGCCAGGCTGGTCTCGAACTCCTGACCTCAAGTGATTCACCTGTCTCGGCCTCCCAAAGTGCTGGGAATACAGGCATGAGCCACCACACCTGGTCCCAGCAGGATTTTCTAGGCTAAATCCTGGAAATCTTGCACGTGGAAATGTCCAAAAAAGTTCAGAGGCTCATTGTTTTTAATAGCAAAAAACTAGGAACAACAAATAGGTATTTGAAGAAGAATGTGTGACTAAATGGTGGCATATTTACATGGTGGGACAAAAGTGGATTATTAATCACTGGTGTGTCATGCATCCACATGGATAAATCTCACAGACATTTGGTGAATAAGGAAAGGAATCTGCAGAATACAAATATTGTAATGCTGTTTACATAAAATATAAAACCATGTAAAACTGAACGATACACTGGTGGGGGTACTACATATGTAGTAAATGCAAAGAGAAAAGCTAAAAGCAAGAAGTTCAAGATTCAAAATACTGGTTATGTCTGGTGGGGGAAGAGGGGACTGCTATTCAGGGCATAAAGGGACCACTAGAGGGATCATAAGGTTTTGCTTCCTAAACTGGGTGGTAGGCACATGAGCGGACACATTACTTGTTAGTCCTTTCGTGAATAATAAAATATAATTTAAAAAATAATTTTTCTAGAACTAGAGATTAAAAAAAATAAACTTTTTTCAGCAAAAGAGGGGTCATGATAGGGAGAAGTGAGAGGGGGGCACAAAAGTACGCGGTGAGGGAAATAATGAAATTCATTTCAGTTCAACAACAAACGTACTGAGAACGGATGAATGAAACCTTGCCCATCCTATAAGGAACACAGTCATCTGCCAGAAGAAAAATGTTGATGCCTCCCAGTGCAAAGGTGAAGATGGTGACTGTGAAAGTTATCAGCTTTAGCCAGACCCCTGATGAAGCTCCCAGATGTCACAGCATCCATGGGCTTGTGATCTCAGGTGAAGGTGTTGAGCCGTGGCTTCCCGTCTCTTCACTTGTTCCCTCCACTCCGCCATCCCCATATTCAAAATGGCTTCTAGATTTGTGTCTTTAAAGGCACTTAGGCAATAAATAAAAAGTACAGTGCAGTGCTCACTGCATCTTTCCCACAGCTTTCTGAAGTAAATCGATGTCTCTGGGAAGAGGAAGAGTAGTGTGAGTATGAAGGACTAGATTCCTGTTGCTTTCTCCTGACGCCCATGCCAGGGTTTCCCCAGGCAACTAGGAAGATCACCCATGGTGAGGCCTAAAATCTAGGCTTCTTGCTGGTCAGTCAGGTGAGTCACCTCTTTTGGAGTGATACCAGTGTACGCCAGTGCCCAGTTCCAGGGCACTGGATATCAAGCGTGTGCCAGGCTTCCTATCCAGTTAGACAGGAGGCAAGCCGTGATGGCCATCATTGATCAGCACCACCTCCTACCACCTTCAATTTCTGGCTTCCTCATCGCCTTCTTGGGGAGTCCCCAGCTTCCTCATGGCTTTCTTAGGGGGAGTCCCCCGCTTCAAGGCCTTCCTGGGGGAGTCCCCAACCTCTCCCTGGTCTTCTTAGGGAGCCCACAGTAATGGAAGCCTGATGGGTGCTCTGATCCCAGGGTCACGGGCGGAGTGCTGCAGACTCACTCCCTATACATCTTGTCACATCTATGGGAATCCGAGGCCCTGTATGGGTTTTCTAGTTCCAGCTTTACTCCAATTTCCGGGGTCCCATGATATAAAAGTGTCAACTGAGTGTCTGCAGATCTGAAAGAGACCAATCACAGGGTTGTTACCCTTCCCAAACCCAGCATCTCTGTTTTTCCCAATAGGTCCTGCCTCTTCTAACTTTTTATCTATTACCAGACTTCCAAATCTACTTCAATAGCATACAGCCCCCCACCCCCCGGAAACACTTAAATGCACTTCTTGCCTATTATTCTGCATCATTTTGCCTTACTAAACCAGTGCCCCTCCTGGCACCTTCCCAGCTCTTGGTGGACATCTCTAACCTGATCTCAGAGAAACCTAATGCTATTACCATTACTACTACTAGCTAATACTTATTGAGGACCTCATATGTGCTAGGCTCTGCCTGTTATGAATTATGCTAGGCCATGTTCTGAACCCTTAGTACTGTTCTCATTTCATAGCAATGGAAACCTGGTGATCAGTGAGGAAACCAAGGCACAGGGGGGTAAGTAACTTGCCCAGGTTGCTTTTTATGGGTTAATAAGTGCAGGACCCAGGATACAAACCCAGACAGCCTTTTCCAGAGGCTGCACTTTGAACTACTAGGCTACAGGGCTGTCTCCTAAAAGCCAAAGTAGATCAGATACTGTAGCCGAATCCCATTCCCCTTCTCCCTCCTGTAGTAGCTTACAACGCATGACAGCTTCTTTGACTTGGTGAAAGCCACCATCAGGGCCCCTGCCATCCACGTAGTACATGAATCGGAGCTCAGGTGGGTAGGCAGCTCTGCTGAGGCCCGACAGCAGAGGGATGGTTCTGCCCTCGGCCCCTGGGGCATCGGTCAGGGCCTGCAGCATCTGGTACTTGCACCAGGGGTCTTGAAGGAAGCCTGGGGTGATGAGCAGCACGCGGCAGTGACTACTGCTCAGTGCCTGGCACAGTTCAGACACGATGGCACCGCCTGGGGTTGCATCCCGGAGCTGCAGGAAGCAGCGCAGCCTGGCAGTGCTGCCTTCCAGGTAGGAGACCAGGTCCTGGGCGGCCACCAGGTCTTCTTCACTGTGGCACACACAGACGTCATAGTCTTTGCTCCAGCGAATACTGCCACTGTCACTCGCTTGCGAGGGTGGCAGGCTGGGAGATGTGACTGAGCTGTGGCTTGGGGGTATGGGGCTGTCCTGTGAGGTAGGCTGTGAAGCATCACTGGGCGCACTTTCTGAGGAGTCGGGCATCTTCTTGGGCTTCTTCAGCAGGGTCTGCCTGAACCAGTCTGTGGGGGAGAAACACTGCTCAGGCTTGTATCTTCTTACCAGATGCCCTCTCACTGCCCGCACAGGGAGGTGCCCCACCTCACAGGGAGGATGGACAGACTGCAGCTCACCTCCCTGCACTGGGAAGCATCTTATTCTCAGACACCTGTTGCTCTGCTATGTTTGTATAACCTTTGGGACTTGCCTAAAAGTGCCTTCTGAAGGTAAAGGTTTTGGACGCACGTCAGAACTTTGGAATCCTTGTGTGGGAGTGTTCCACCAGCCTGGTTAAGAGAATTGGCTTTGTACTGCTCCCGGGCCCTTTGATATCTGGTACTCCCAGCCCACCTTAAGCAGAACTTCCCACTAGAGCCGACTAGTCAACCACCGAGGAGTCTGCAGGTACAGCTCTGTTATGCTAGCAAAGATATCGTCAGTCCCAAGCCCACTTCCAGCACTGAGGGGAGGTGAATTTAGATCAGGAAGGGCTACGTGTATGGGAAGGAAGGGGTACGAAGGATTGGCTTCTGTTTGGCCCCAAGAAATCCTAGATTCTCACTAAACGGGGAAGAGGCTACTGCTCAGAACTGCTGAGGAGCAGAGAGCTTCGCGATTCAGAACCCACACTCTGGAGTCAGGGACATGGCTTTGACTGTGGACCTGTGGCTCACTTTCTGTATGGCCTTCAGCAAATTAGTCTATGTCTTCATTTGCTCATCTGTGTAATAGGTTTGTCTTAGTTGCTGAAAGTTAACCGAGATAACGCAGTGTTGGGTATGCTGTAGGGACTCCATAAGGAGACGAAAACTCAGCTTCCCCAGCCTCTGATAAGGACAGATAGTTGTGGTGGGGATTGATTCATTTTCTCTCTCTGCTTGGCTTCTTCCTCTAAATGGTTCTGGGACAAAGATTTAGACGATGAGAGACACAGTGTTAAGCACTCAGCACAATGGCTTCCAGGCTAGGAGAGTTAGCTGAGCAGGTCTGGAAAACCTTTGAGCCAAAAGGATAAAGATCTGGCTGCGCTGACGCAGGCCTCCCCTCCTCACTCTCCACAAAGCGTCCAGGCCCTGAAGTCAAGTCAGGAGATCCCCTCAGCCTTCCTGCGTCTCTCTGAGTTTGGACCAGGCAGGCCTCCCACCTCGCCTATGAAGACTGAGCACTCCACTCAGGAACACAGCAGTCGCAAGTCCGGTTCCACTCACCAGCCATCTTGCCTAGAGGCTTCTTAGGCCGCGAGCCAGGAGCTGGGAGGGAGGGCGATGATGCCATAGCGTGGGGCTCACAACTAGTCCCCTGAGACCAGGCATTGGTAAAGGGGGAGGAGGGAGGAAACCCAGTCTTGACCTCATGGAGCCGCCATCCTACAGAGGGCACAGAGAAAGAATCACAAAGGCTGCACTTACCCTGCTCTCATTCCCCCGGGATGAGCTCTGGGAAGTTCTGCTTCTCTCCTAATGCCTGAATAGAGGCTTCCTCTCTAAGTGGGTCCTTCATTCCTCATGAGATGAGGGACAGACATGACTGTGATTGGAGCTGGGTTCTAGATAAAGCCGGAGCCCTGTAGTGGGGTCAGACTTACAGGGTATGAGCTCAGCATGACCAGCTGAGGGGCTGTTCTCTGCTCCGCCTGGCCAGGAGGATATTTGGGATCTGGGGAAGGGCAGCTGGCAGGCAGCTCTTTAGAAGGGCTTCCTGTGTAAGGCCTGAAATGGCAGAAGAAGGACAGTTGCTATTTGGACAAATAATTATGTATCCAGATAGAAGCTGAACAGTAGAGAGAGAGAACATACAGGAAATCTTGGGAGACTTTTCCTCCAAGTCTGCCTCCCCGCAAATAACTCCATCCATAGACCCATTGCTCCTGCAGCCCTCAGCTCAGGAAGGTCATGTCACAACGTGGTGAAGACTGCAGACTCTTGCAGGCAGAGTGCCTGATCCTCACCTCTTCTTAACCGTGGCCTCTGGCCATCTTGCTAAGCTACAGTTTCTCCATCCATGAAATGGAAATACTAGAGCTTCCTTCTCAACATTATTGTGAAGATTGAATGAAATAATTTATGTAAAGTCCTAATGGTGCCCGGCATGTAACAAATGCTCAGAAAATGTGGACTACTATGTGTATAAAATAATCTAGATATTGGAGGGATATATTATGTTCATGGTTTATAAGACTTGATATTGTAACGTTAATGTTCCCCAAACTGATCATTTGTGCTGTTTCAAAGTCTAGAAGATTTTTGATTTTTAGGTTTTTTGGTAGGGAGGTTGTCAGACTGCTTGTAAGTTTATATGGACATACAAAGGCCCAAGAATCCCTTAGAAAAGCAACCTGCCATGTTCTCATCAGGGACAGAGGATGTCCCTGATGGTGGACCCGCTTTCAGCCTCAAGTTTCTGTGAAGCAGAGCCTGTGGGGCTGTAATATTCTGGTGACACTTCGCTCGGGAAAGGCTGCAGAGCAACTAGCACAGGGCTGCTTTCTCACTCTTTGGTGGACCTGTGAGATCAAAACAAACCTGAGAACTCACGGACACAAGTATTATTAGACACATTGAAATAAAGGGTTTCAAGATTTAAAGAATGTGGCTGGGCACAGTGGCTCATGCCTGTAATCCCAGCACCTTGGGAGGCCGAGACGGTGGATCACCTGAGGTCAGGAGTTCAAGCCCAGCCTGGCCAACATGGCATAATGCTATCTCTACTAAAAATACAAACATTAGCTGGGCCTGGTGGCGGGTGCCTATAATCCCAGCTACTTAGAAGGCTGAGGCAGGAGAATCTCTTGAGCCTGGAGGCGGAGGATGCAGTGAGCTGAGATTGCACCACTGCACTCCAGCCTGGGCAACAAGAACAAAACTCCATCTCAAAAAATATATATAAAGAATGTCATTCTATGCTGCACGTTAATGCTTTGTTCACTGATGCTAAACACCAGTATGCCAAGCTGATGAGTAGAAGACCAGAGATGCTAAGGATTTGTGAACAGGTATCAAAGTTCTAAAAAGTAGAACTTAACCCATAGCAGAAGAAGAAGGCAGAACGAAGAGTTGGAATGGGCACAGGAACCAGAGAAGACATTTGAAAAAGCAACACAACTAAATGTGAAGCCACCAAAAAGACACAGGAAGTTGACTCCAAGTATGTATATGAGTTTCTTTTCTTTGTTAATGGGCTTAGTATTTCAGACAGCCTAAGTGGGAGGCTGCAGCTAGAAGAACTGGGCTTTCTACAGTGTTGTGTTTGAAATCCTCTTCCTGGTGAGGCATTGCTGTCTCCCTACATCTTCATTTCAGCCATTCAAGATGCCTTTATGGGCTGGGCACGGTGGCTCACACCTGTAATCCCAGCACTTTGGGAGGCCAAGGCGGGCAGATCACGAGGTCAGGAGTTCGAGACCAGCCTGACCAACATGGTGAAATCCTGTCTCTGTGAAAAATACAAAAATTTGCTGAGCGTAGTGGTATGCACCTGTAATCCCAGCTACTCAGGAGGCTGAGGCAGGAGAATCGCTTGAACCTGGGAGGCGGAGGTTGTACCCCAGCCTGGGCGACAGGGCAAGACTCTATCTCAAAAAAAAAAAAAAAAAAAAAAAAAAAAAAGATGCCTTTTTGCCCCCTAGTAGTAAACATAATGTCACTTGGTTTTGAATTATTTAAATATTTTTTCAATTTTGTTGTAATTTTAATATTCATTATTTGGTCTTGGTATACTTATAAACTACAGCATATTTTGATTTTTAAATATTCTAAAGGTTAAAAATTAACATGTTAATATATGTAGATTTAAAAGTTTTAGTTTCTCATTTTATGAAATGACTTGCCCCTTTGGCAACACATGCTGATTTGGGGAAATTGCTTTTCCATTGCTTGGTTAAGAAGAACAGTTGTCCAACAGTATATGCCACTAAAAGTGGGGTGGTATAAGCCCTCATGAGAAACATTATGGAAATGTTTAAAGAGAAAAATGACAGCACCTTTGACAGGCTAATTGAGCAAGATGGCAGGTAAATTCCAGTAACCATACACACTGCATACTTCCTGAATCCAAGACGCCATGCACCTTCCTTGTCCCTTTGCAGTTCTTTTATAGCTGGAGCTGTGGGACTGTCACACATTCAAACACGTGTTAATTGTTCCAAGAGTTGGCAGCTGTCATCATATCTTGAGATGTGGTTGACAAGCAGGTAAGGTAATGAACCCAAGTCTTCAACTGGAAGCTCTACCACTAGCTCTGCCTATTCTCTGATTTGCTGTGTGGTCACTTTTTTTGTGCTTTGAAAAAATTCATAAAGTAGAATCATACCAAAAATACCCACTTTGTAAGAACAAAGACTTGAAAGAAAATTAGTAAAGAGGCTGGGTGCAGTGGCTCATGACTGTAATCTCAGCACTTTGGGAGGCTGAGGTGGGCAGATCACTTGAGCTCAGGAGTTCCAGAGCAGTCTGGCCAATATGTTGAAACCTGTTTCTAGTAAAAATACGAAAATTAGCCAGGCGTGGTGGCGCTCGCCTGTAATCCCAGCACTGTGGGAGGCCGAGGCAGGCAGATCACTTGAGGTTAGGAGTTCAAGACCAGCCTGGCCTACACATTGAAAACCCATCTCTACTAAAAATACAAAAATTAGCTGGGCATGGTGTTGCACACCTGTAATCCTAGCTACCCAGATGGCTGAGGCAGGAGAATCCCTTGAACCTGGGACATCATGCCATTGTACTCCAGCCTGGGTGACAGAGTAAGACTTGGTTTCAAAAAAATAAAATTCGTAAAGAATTTCTCCAGAAAAGCGGTAGCACAATACTGTTAGTGCTTTCTAGAATGCTTTTCCAATATTATATACAGAAATTCATGTAAAGGAAATATTACAGAGTTTTGCTGTATAAAATCCAAAGTGGGCCTGGTGCAATGGCTCACACCTATAATCCCAGCACTTTGGGAGGCTGAGGCGGGTGGATCACAAGGTCAGGAGTTTGAAACCTGCCTGGCCAACATGGTGAAACCCTGTCTGTACTAAAAATACAAAAATTAGCTAGGTCTGGTGGTGCACACCTGTAATCCCAGCTCCTCAGGTGGCTGAGGCAGGAGAATCGTTTGAATCCAGGAAATGGAGCTTGCAGTGAGCCTAGATCATGCCATTGCACTCCAGCCTGGAAGACAGGGCAAGACTCAGTCTAAAAAAAAAAAAAAAAAAAAAGTCCAAAGTGTATATAATATCTAATATCAAACTGGTCTCCAATTTCTATTATATAGGGAATGTACTGAAGCCCGTGAAGGCATATGATTAGAATATGTATCTCTTAGAGTTCCTATTTGATTTCTGTTAAGCGGAATCGTTATCTGTGATAGACAGAATAGTGGCCCCCAAAGAGGCCCACATCCTAATTCCTGGAACTGAGAATATGTTACTTCCATGACAAAAGGGGATTTTGTTGCTGTGATTAAGTTAAGGACTTTGAGATGGGGAGGTATTCCTGGATTACCCAGGTGAGCCAAATGTAACCAAAAAGATCCTTTCAATAGGGAGGCAGGAAGGTCTGAGGCAGACGAAGGAGCTGTGCCAAGGGAAGCAGGGGTCAGTGGGGTGCAGGTGGCCTCCAGAAGCTGGAAAAAGCACATCCATGGGTTCTTCCCTGAAGCCTCCAGAAGGAAAGCGGCCTTGCTGATCCATCTGAGAACGGTAGGATAATCCATGTGTGTTGTTTGAGGCCACGAAGTTTGTGGCAATTTGTTTACAGCAGGAGTAGGAAACTACTACACTGTCTCTGGTCAGATCAGGCCAAGGAATGGAGAAGATACTGGATTTCAGTTGAGTGCTAAAAGCTGGTCTGTTTAAAGGTTTAAATTGTTTGAAACAGTTTTTACATCTTTAAATAAATTACCATCTACAGTTCACGTGACTTTGACTTTATATTTAAAAGAGTTTTGGTTTCAAAGCCTGTTTTGTTCTCAAACACTTGCTAAAACATTTGGGTAGGATACATTACGGTTTGCAGGACAATGTCACTTAAAGTGCCGAATATAATTCATTTATAGCTTAATAGACACAATACAGCGTTCTCAAAAAGGTTTGTAGACTGTGGTGCAGACCTAAGGTGGCCTGCTGTGTTCACACCTGGGACTGTGGGAAGGACCCATGACATTCTTCTTTTTTTTTCAGACAGGCTCTCACTCCATTACCCAGGCAGTAGTGCAGTGGCATGATCTCAGCTCACTGCAACCTCTGCCTCCCGGGTTCAAGTGACTCTCGTGCCTCAGCCTCCTGAGTAGCTGGGACTACAGGTTCTTGCCACCACACCCAGCTAATTTTTGTATTTTTAGTAGAGACGGGGTTTCACCATGTTGGCCAGGCTGCTCTGGAACTCATGATCTCAAGTGATTGGCCTGCCTCAACCTCCCAAAATGCTGGGATTACATACAGGCATGAGCCACCACACTCGACCGTTTTTGTTTTTTTTTGTTTTTTTTTTTTTTTGAAACAACATCTTGCTCTGTCACTAGGTTGGATTGCAGTGGTGTGATTACAGCTCACTGCAGCCTTGACCTCCTGGGCTCAAGCAGTCCTTCCATCTCAACCTCGAGTAGCTGGGATTACAGACGTGAGCCACCACACCTAATTTTGTTGTTGTTGTTGTTGGTAGAGACAGGATCTTGCTTTGTTAGCCAGGCTGGTCTCTAATTGCTGGCCTCAAGGGATCCGCCCACCTCAGCCTCCCAAAGTGCTGGGATTACCAGCGTGAGCCACTGTGCCCGAATTTAATTTTACTTTTATCTGAGTCTTCTTGCTAGGGAAGATTTTTTTTAAAACCAGACTCAAATAATACAACTATAAGGGGGAAAATGATACAATAAAAAACATTAAAATGAAGAACTTCTGTTCATCAAAAGACATAAATAGGAGAGTGAAAAGGCAATCTCCCAAGGGAGAAAATGTTTAAAAACAGACATCCAATAAATGTCTTATATCACAAATATTTCAAGGACTCAATGGAACTAGAAAGAAAAAGGCAATCAGAAAAATGAGTAGAAGAATTGAGCAGGCACTTCACAAAAAGAATATTCAAATGAGCAACAGATATAAAAACAGTTCATTAGTCATCAGAGAAATGCAAACTAAAACCTGAGTGCATCACTGCTGGGCACTCAGCCAAATGGCTACAGTGAAAAAGACTATCAAGTAGTGGGAAGAATATGCAGGAATGGGAACTTGCACACTGCTGGTGGGCATGTAAACTGTACAACTACTTCAGAGAACTGTTTGGCACCACAGACTAAAAATGAACATACATCAGCAATTTCAGTCCTAGGAATATACTCAAACAGCAGTGCTTACAGATTTTTTTTTTTTTTTTTTAACGTAGTCTCACTCAGTTGCCCAAGTTGGAGTGCAATGGCGCAATCTCGGCTCATTGCAACATCCAACTCCCACGTTCAAGCAATTCTCCGGCCTCAGCCTCGCAAGTAGCTGGGACTATTGGTGCCCATCACCACACCCAGCTAAGTTTTGTATTTTTAGTAGAGATGGGGTTTCACTATGTTGGCCAGGCTGTTCTGCCCACCCCAGCCTGTCAAAGTGCTGGGATTACAGGCGGCAGCCACTGCGCCCGGCCTGCTTACAACTGTTTACCAAAATACGTACAGGAGCCTGTCTGCAGCAGCAAGATACAAAATGACCCCGTGGTAGGAACTGTCCATCAACCGTGTCCAGTAGAATGGATAAACAAATTGTGAGGCCGGGCGCGGTGGCTCACGCCTGTAATCCCAGCACTTTGGGAGGCCGAGGCGGGTGGATCACGAGGTCAAGAGATCGAGACCATCCTGGTCAACATGGTGAAACCCCACCTCTACTAAAAATACAAAAAATTAGCTGGGCATGGTGGCGCGTGCCTGTAATCCCAGCTACTCAGGAGGCTGAGGCAGGAGAATTACCTGAACCCAGGAGGCGGAGGTTGCGGTGAGCCGAGATCGCGCCATTGCACTCCAGCCTGGGTAACAAGAGTGAAACTCTGTCGCAAAAACAAACAAACAAACAAAAAAAAAACAAATTGTGGTCTAGCCACACAGTGGAATGTTAACACACCAACAAGAATAAATTACTGCTAACAAAACATGAGTGAATATCACAAAACATATTGAGTGTAAGATGTCAGACAGATAAGAGTATATGATGTATGATTCCGTGGATGGAAAATCCAAAACAGGCAAACCTATTATATGGTGTTGGAAGCCAGGGATGTAGTCATGTTTTATTTATTGCTCTGAATCAGGAAATGTTCATGTTATGGAAAATGGTTGAGCTGTACACTTATGATTTATGTGCTTACATATCACCTCCTTTACGTCTAAAAAATAACCAGACGTGGTTCCCTCTGAGTCATTCCTGACCTGGCGTCCCCTAGGTTTTGTGTATCAGCGGGAGTTCCCCGCACTCCCCCTCTCGGTCGCACTTCTAGGGTGTGCTGTGATTCTAACAGACCTGTCTCCCTGGGAACCAGAGGACTGGCTCTGTCTGGTCCACCGCGGTCACCCTAGTCGTTGGCACAGTGGCTGCCCAGCCTGTGGTAGCTGCTTATTAAATGACTGTGGTGTAATGCCTCGATAGGTCCCTAACCCCAACTAGTTAGGCACTTGCTGAATCACTGCCACAGTGACAAGCCGAAGCGTACAGGCAGAGGCTGTGCCTGGAGCAGAGAAGAATGTGAGCACAAACAGTATCCACCAAGCACCGACCACCAGGCTCTTTAGAGAGGCAAGCCAAAGGGGAGCCGCCCGCGCGAGCTTCTTTGCGACAGAAAAGGTGACAGCCTCCTCGGAGGGCCGTTTCACGCCGCCTGCGTGTTGCGGGTGCCAGAAGGTGAAGGAGAAGGGAAGCGGGCAAGGCCGGGCTGAAGGCGGCGCGCACCCCTTCGGTTCTCGGTGGGGCTGGGACTCCCGGGCCTACGCCGGCCGCGCTCCGCCCTGCCCGCCCCCCAGAGCCCCGCCGCGCCTCCCGGTCCCCCGAGACCCCGCCCGGGCTCACCTGTACGCGGGCCCCGTCGCGATGCGGGCTCCGCGGGGAAGAGCGGCGAGCAGGCCCCGCTCCCCGGAAGCGCCGCGCACCGCCCGCCGCGCCGCCCCTCCCACGCCGCCCGGCCCCGTCCTGACCCGGGAGGCGCTCGGACACGAACCGGCTGCGGGAGACGCGGGGCGGGGCAGCCCCGGTGTCCCCCGCAGCCCGAGCCCCGGCCAGCCTGGCTTCTGCGTGATTCCGTGAGCCAGTCCTCTCTGCGAGCTGCGTGGGGGCGGTCCGCAGCAACTCTGGGAGGAGCCTGTGCCCAGGGTTCCCCGGCGCCCACCGTGACAACCTGAAGCCTGGGTTTTGTTCTAAGTGAGGGAGAAGGACAAAAAAAATAAAACCCTATTCCAACCATTTAATTATCCTAACACCCTGCCGGGGTGGGGGTGCGTATACCTTTTTCCTTAATACAATTGAGAAACATGAAGCTTGAAGAGTTGGAATGACTTTTCCAGAGGTCACACACAGCGAGGGGTGCACGGGGCTGCAATGCAGGAGGGGCAGACCCGGGGCGGCAGCTGGGAAGCCAGGCCGCTGCGGCCGCCAGCTCCTTGCCCAGACACTGGTTGATGCGGGTGAGGATGGAAGCCCCGTCTCAGGCCAAAGTGCTTTCTTTGCCCCTCTAGGCAGTGAGCCCACATGGGCGTTTGAACAGCGCGGCGGGACGCTGCAGAGCCGCTGCAGACAGCGTGGTGTACGCAAGATCCTGGGAAGTCCTGGGTGGAAGAGATGAAGACGCGTTCGCTTCCCAGTTTTCAGAGCTCTTCAGATGTTGGTGAGCGCTGTGAAGCATTTACCGGAGAAGGGAACAGGGAGCATTCCCCACAATTGTTTCACTCAACGAGAAATGTGAATGTCTTCCTGGGCGTCTTGCTCCTGGGCATGCCAGTTTGGGAAACACGATCCTAAAACGCGTTTGAAATGCTGGAGGGTGGAGGTAGTTAAATTAGGCCATCTAAGATTCATGATCTCCCCTCCAATCTGATTTCCTCCTTTTCTTACCAGCCCGCCAAAGCGGAGAGCTCCCCGTCCTGGGAGGGCTCTGGAGTCAACTGCCTGGGTTCACAGCCAGCGCTCATCACTTACTAGTTGTGTGGCCTTGGTGAAGTCACCAGACCTTTCTAGGCTTGCTTTCCTCATCAGATTATGGTGTCTGATTGCTGGTGTTCTTGCAAAGATTAGATGAGTCTACATAAAGTAGCTCAGATACCTGGCCCTACACCCAAGTGCCCAGTTTGCTTTGACTCTACCAAGTACACCTCCACCCAGGGCCTTCCGCTTGCCCAACTCTGCTCTGCAAAACGCCCTCCTTCTAGCAAGGCCTGTTTTGTTGTTGTTGTTGTTTGTTTCGTTTTTCTTTTTTTTCACATCACACTGGTAAGCCAACACATAACAAAGTTTAAGGGAGGCACATTTCACACATGTACGTGAGCACCCAATCATCATGCTGATGAACTACAAAGGGATCAAGGCCCATTTTTGCCTTTCTCTTATTCAGGAAAGCTTTGCCTCCCCCAGCCCTGCCCATCTCCCTCCCTCAAAGGCCACAGTGCTTTCCATTGTCAAGAGCCTGTGCTCCGGCTGCTTAGCTCCCACTTTAGACTAAAAATTCCTCAAGGCCAGGGATGGTTCTTCAGGCTCTAGCGGGAGCAGAGGGACACTTGAGGGACACTCAGATAAACAGGCCTTGACTACGCCAAGTGTGGGCCAAGCGTTGGGACAGGTGGGTATCAGTGATGAGGAAGGCTTGGTCCCAGCTCTGCACAGTTCAGTGGGGAAGACAGATGCACAGAGGCAGTGGTGAGGGCTTGCCCACAGCCTGAAGTAGAGCCCTGTGGGAGGACAGGGGAGTCCTCAGCACTTCTTAATAAACACACTGTAGTACTTGCCGTCTGGAAGGGAGCAGTTTCTGGGCAAGGAACACTTGAAGGCCTTTTCCCTTTCTCCCTGAGATTGGGATGTCTGTGCTGAAGGGAGGGGCAGCTACTGCCTGGCACCTAAGGGAACCTCACAGGATCAACCCGGATGTTGGCTTGTCCCTCCCCCATATCCCTGGCTAGTTCCTTCCTGTCTTTCATCACTGCCTTCTTCCTTTTCTGCTTTCCGCCTTAGGCCTGGCCCCTCACCCCAACCCCAGGGGCACATCTCCTCCCCTGCCATTAGTAAGGCCCACCTCCAACATTTCTTCCCTCCCTTTCATCCTTTCGGACAAAGGCCTCCTTAGCTTCCATGACACCACACTCTCCTGGCTTTTCTCCTGTCTCTGTGGGCACCTCTTCAGCGTCCTCTTCTTTGGTTTCTCTCTTAAATGTCAGTGGGGTCCCTTCAGCTTCCCTCCTTGGCCCCCTACTCCACCCTCTGGGGTGATGCCATGCTGTTCCATGATGTCCACATCTCTGTCTACAGCACACATCTCCCAAGGACCATGCCAATCAGCCCAACCCCCTATTTGAGGGATGCCCTTACAGGTACCCCTCATTCATCGCGTCCCAGACTGCACCACTCACTCACTGTTCCTCACTCTGCTCCTCCCTGGTGCTCCTCATCTCTGGGAGGGGCAGTACCTCCATCCAGAAACCTGGCCATCCGACTTGCCCCACTTCTTGTTACTGGCCTCATTCTGGGATCCATCTGATTCTTGCCGTGATGGTTCAGGTACCCAGTGTCTCTGCCATGTGGACTGCAACCACAGCCTCTTTGTGGCCTGCTTTGACATCCTCATCTGCTCTCTACAAGGTAATCCAGATGACTCTTCCAAAAGGAAAATCTGATTGTGTTGCTCCCCTGTTTAAAACCCCTCAGTGGCCCCCTGCCCATAGGATAAAAATCCAAGCTCCTTTGTGCGGCTCGCCAGGCTCTGGTTCCTCTTCTTGTACTCCATGATCCAGGCAGAAAGTCACACTGAATCCTGCTGCGGTCTGAATGTCAGTGTTCTCTCTAACACCCAATGTGATAGTGTTAAGAGGTGGGGCTTTTGGGGAAGTGATTAAGTCATGAAAACTCTGCCCTCCTGAAAGGAAATGTCCTTGGATAAGTCATGAAAACTCTGCCCTCCCAAAAGGAAATGTCCTTGGAAGAGGTTGAAAGAAGATGCCTTACCCTTTCTGCCATGTGAGGTTGCAGTGATAAAGCACCATCTTTGAAGCAGACAGCAGGCTTTTACTAGATATTGAATCTGCTGGTGACTCGATCTTAGACTTCCCAGCTTCTAGAACTGTGAGCAACGTATTAATATTGTGTATAAATCTTATTCTTGCTTCTGGGCCTTTACATATGGTGTACCCTCAGCCTGGATCCTTCCTTGGCCACCTTGCATTCACTTCACTAAGTGAAGTCCATCCTTTAGGTTCAGCTGAGGTCAATTTCCCTGGAGGAGCTTCATGGAGAAACACCCTTGCCACCCTCCTACTCCCACCCTGGGTGAGGTGACTGTGTCGTGTGCTTATGCTAGCACCATGGGGGTTACACTGTATCTGATCTAGGGGTGAGGGACTAGGAGGGGCAGGACATAGCTATGAAAGTTCCAGCAAAGACACGACTGTTTCGCTTGCTGGTGTACCTCAACATGTAGACCCTTAGCCTGGCCAACAGTTGGGCTGAATAAATGTTGGTAGAATAGATGGACAAAACCATCCCTCTCTTTACAACCAAACTCCCTGCAGGACCTCAGGAATGGGGGGCACTTCCTGGGACTCTGTCCACCATCTTGGAGCCTGTGGAGGCTTGCTGGGAACAAGGAGGCTGTGGTCCAAGGCCAGTTTTGGGCTGTAAGTGGGGTTTCCAGAACCAAAGGGGGCACACAGCTCTTCTTAAAATTGAGTGTTTATGCCTGGGATGAAACTGAATTCTATTTGGGCAAGAGATGTCATGTATTCAAAGCAAAGAGCCACACAGCAACTCCTGGTGGCACACAAAACAAAACCAGAGTAACTGGGGAAAAGTAACTTGGGTTCATGGAAACAGTGGCATGGTTTATGTCAAATTCCCAATCTTCCTGCTGAGACCACAGACACAGAATCTGTATGATACTGTACCCCTCAAGAATTTGAACTAATGAAAGGTGGACTTGTGCTTTTTTTTTTAAAAAGAGCTTTTTTTCAAGAGTTCTCAGAAAAAAAAAAAAAAAAGAAAAAAAAAGCTCCTCGTCTGGTGTAAGGCTGGTGGGGTACTTCAAAAGCTCCTGCTGTACAATGAAGAGACAGAAGACTGGAGGGAAGGAGTTAATTACATGCATTGATTGATGGATAAGGTACACAGACAACCAATAAACCTGAGCCAGGCTGCCCCGGAACGCTCCCCTGCCAGGGCTCTGTCTGCTGAGGGTCAGAGGCAGTGTTTTCTGGTCAGTGCCAGGCTGGAGCCAGTCCTGGGCCAGGGTGCCCAGGCCTCCAGCAGGATTTCCCTGGTGGATGACACCAGCATGGGCTACAGATCCGTCCTAGGATCCTGCTCATCACTCGCTGTTGGCCTGGGCCTCAGTGCCTGTGCCTGCCCAGCCATGTAGATGCAATGGCCTGCCTGAGAGGAGAGTGGGGAAAGGGAGAAGGCCCGGCACAGTGCTGGGGAAGACTGGAACAGAAAAAGAAGAAAGAAGGTTGTGAACACGGCTGGCATGCAAGCCAGTGAGGCCAGTGCAGAGCGCACATGCTCAGATGATGATGTCCTCCTGGATCTTCTCTCCCAAGTAAAAGCGGCTGAAGAGGAAGGAGTCCAGGTTGATGGTCTGGAAGCGGCCCTCCACTATCATCTCTGCCACAGCTCGTCCCACACCAGGGGCCTGCTGGAGCCCATGACCACTGAAGCCAGTAGCAAAGAACATGTTGACAACTAGTGGATGGGGGCCCACCACACCATTCTGGTCAAAGGTGTTGTAGTCGTAATAGCCGGCCCAGGCGTTCTGAACCTGTACGTGCACAAAATGCTGGGTTCTCAGGAAGGCTGCAGCCACGCTCCATCCATTCATCAGGGGTCAGCACGAAGTACCCTCCACCCGCTGCTGAGGGGTCCATGGGATGGGATGGGTCCCACAGATTCTTTAGCAACTGTGACGTGGAGGGATTAAGGCAGTGGACAGGTCCAAGGGGACCAATATGCTCCACTGTCACCTGTCCCATCCAATGTCCAAAAATAAAAAGGAAAACCAGTCCCTGCCGGTTACCTTCAGAGTCTCAAAAGCTGGGACCCTCTGAGCCAAATGGGGCCACACCTTGTCCTGGAAGAAATCATGGTCCACTTCCAGGTTCCCTGGGTCCGGTTCTTCCTCCTGGGGTGAGAGGTGGAGACAAGGCTTACGCTGCCTAAGACACGACAGACCCAGACTTGTTTAACAATCCCTGTGTAGGTAGGGGATGGGGAGAAATGGTCCCAGTTCAAATCTGGAGGGGGCTGCAACATCAATTAACGTAGCACACAGACCCCAAAAAAGCCTGATTTGTTTTTGAGACGGTGTTTCACTCATCGCCCAGGCGAGTACAATGGCGTGATCTTGGCTCACTGCAACCTCTGCTTCCTGGGTTCAGGTGATTCTCCTGCCTCAGACTCCTGAGTAGCTGGGATTACAGGCACGCACTGGCACTGCCACCAGGCCCAGCTAATTTTTGTATTTTTAGGAGTCAGGGTTTTGCCATGTTGGCCAGGCTGATCTCAAACTCCTGACCTCAGGTGATCCACCTGCCTTGGCCTCCTAAAGTGCTGAGATTACAGGCATGAGCCACCGCATCTGGCCAAAAGCCTGAGTCTTTCGTGACAATTATTTGATGTCTCCTTGCCGGCATGTCCCACTCAGCTTACCTCAGTGGGGCTACGGCCACCTAGGTAGTTGCTACCTAATCCTTCCCGGCGGAAATAGGTTCCACTAGTGTCTGCAACGAGCGGACTCTCCAGGCCTGGTCCCTGGGGGCAATGCCACACATACACATACCTGCGACAACCACTGTGGTTATGAACTGCAAAAACAGTGTGGCCGGCAACCCTCCCCAACCATGTACACACACACACACACACACACACACACACACACACACACGACCGGCAACCCTCCCCAACCCCCCCCCCACATGGCCGGCAACCCTCCCCAAGCCCCCCCACACACGGCCGGCAACCCTCCCCAACCCCGTACGTACACACACACACGCACACACACATACACACACACGGCCAGCAACCCTCCCCAACCCCGTACAAACACACACACACACACACACGGACGGCAAACCTCCCCAACCCTGTACAAACACACACACACACACACACACACACACGGCCGGCAAACCTCCCCAACCCCATACAAACACACACACACACACACACAGACACACACACACGGCTGGCAACCCTCCCCAACCCCGTACAAACACACACACATGCACACACACACACACGGCCGGCAACCCTCCCCAACCCCGTACACACATACACACACACACACACACACGCACTTATCTAACTTTGATGTCATTTTTCTTTAT